TTCCCATCTCCGTGAATAGTTCCAGCCCTGTTGCGACACCCTATCCTTGTCGTAAACCAGTGGTGGCAACCTTTTTGCATTGCGAGGGCTCGTCTCTCTTCACGGATATCAACTACACTAATCTATTACAGAATTACAAACCTTCCCAACTGGAAACGAGTCTAAAAAGGATACTCGGTACACAGAGCTTTACCGAATTCGTATAATAGCTCTTGCAGATCGATCCTCCATGCAAATACGAATGAAAATGTCCTTTTCCATTTTTCAATCCGAGTTTTAGTTCTCGATATACGAACGATTGAAGTTTTTGCGCGCGTGAACGCACGGTCACGTGTCTCCCGTGAGTCACCGCGCGCGATCAGCTGACTGGTACAAAAAATGGCGCGCCCCATGAGTTCGTCAACTTCAACCCCTTGTATCTAGGAGACTAGGCTTCCCATTGAGAAATGGTAAAGGACTTTTCGGTTCCTTTTTACACGGACAATCGATTCCGACTATTAGTTCCACGATTTTATCACAATTATGTTAAATCACGACCCTAACTCAAGTCACGCTCAAGTATTCACGACCCGCCGCGATTCCCAAGCCCGGAGCAGCCATTGATTTCCGTCCTGAAAAGAAGTAACAAGAAAAAAAAAAGCGTCAATATCCCCCTCGCCCCTCCCCGATTCTCGATCGTATTCCCCAATCATCTCGAATCGTCGCGACGCTTCCACCAGGGATGGGGGACACCCCGATTGTGCCTAGGTCGAACGCGGCCGGCATATTTATATTTAAGAATTTTCATTGTGAATCGGTTTCTGGGCCACGAGATACGAAACCGTGCGCGCAGGGTGTGCTCTCGTCGGTCCGTCTATTGAAAACCAGTCGCGGACGGCCGTGAGTAGTACCGTCGTTCGATAAACGGCGTCTTTCGGTTCAAAGATAAGAATCTCGGATTCGAGGTCAGCCAAGCAGTCCTCGAGGCCTCCTTTGGCCATCGGCAAATTTCGAAAGGGCGCTCGACCTCGTACGAGGTGGCAACCGTGCCGCGGGAGTGTGCGTGGGCGGTCACACCAGCCCGCGTCCCACCTGTGTAGTTGTGAGCGCGACACACGCGCCGGGAGAGTGTACCCGATCGAGATGAATTGGAGTGACACAGCCCCGAGGGGTGACGAGGGACAGGCTTCTAACATCCGCGTGGCAGGGGTGGTTCCGTATTGTAAGTAGATTTTTTTTTCTTTTATTTTTCTTTTTTTTTTTTTATAATACGACGAGCCTCTTTTCTCCGCGTACGATCAAATGAAAGGGAAGCGGCCGAGGTGCTCGATACCGCTGCTGGAAGGTCAAGCGTCCTCCGAGCCAGACAATGAGGCACTTCTCGGATCCTGGACGTGCACAATGTGTGTCCAGGTGGACCCGTCAGTTATTTTTTTCTTCGACTATCCTGTCTCCGGTCCCCACCCCCTCGGGAATTCGGCGAACCTGGGGTGCACCAAGTGTTCTCCTTTCTTTTGGGATTAAAACACTTGGGATGCTCGACGAAAGGACCGGAGGGAGAGATCGAGGGAGCGAGGTCTCGAGTGTGGGAGGATATGGACGGAGGCGAGTGATGTTTGGTTCGTTGGAAGCATTGATAAGGCTGAGTGAAACGTCTGACACAATAGTAGTTGCTGTTCCTCTCAGGAAAGAGCTCTCTTTCCGATCTATAGCGTGTTTTTTAGTAACGCCACCTGACCACAGACACTGACATGCTTTTGAGCCCGCAGAAGTGGCTCCTTCTGCGTCCGATCCAATACAACTTCTAATTTCTCTTATGGATGGTCTCCTTTCCCTTTCCCTGTCTCGCCCGATACCACCTGCAACTCCAGAATTAATCCCAACGAAATACTAGGCTGCCATAGATCAGTTTCTGGAAATACTCTTTCTTTGTCTACGGTGACACGCCTCGAAAATTCTTCTACAACCGATTTTGCTTCCTTCCATAGTAATTCTAGAACAAAGCTAGACCATAGGTACCGACCTACTTTTGAGCCTCGTCGAGCTGGCTATTTCTTCCAGGCCTGATAATTCCTTCCTTCAATATTTACCAACCCCTGGGGTATCGTTAGGTCCGACCCTCATTGAAATTCCTCTTTCTTTGACTTACTCGCAATTCCAGGATTGATTTTTTATTCTACCAGCCATAGTCCGAACAGAAATGGTACCAAGACTTAGGTGACTCTGCTGTAGCCAATAAAATTATAGAAATATCTCCTTCTTTACCTGGTAGTCAGGCTTTAAAATAAATTATTTGTATCGTTGCATTAATATTTCACAGTTTTGGACCAGCAAAATCAAATCCCCAATTTTTATTTCATTCAGACTCCACCTGACCATCGCAACGAATAAATAAATGCATTGCGCGGAATTAAGTCGAGCCCAACTTTCGCGACAGTCCAGCCAGCCAGCGAACAATTCCGTTTCTCGAGCGCAAAAAAAAAGTTCACCACAGAATCCATTCCCGTTCTGACGACAAATAAATCACCGAGCTCGGTATCAAGCCCCAATTTCAAACACACTTGAGAGAGTCGTCCGACGAACTCTATTTTCGTGGCGACCAGGGGGTGGACTCGCGTCGCGGTTTGGAAACGCGGCCGAAAACATTCCGACGGCAAGATGCGAACACCCCCGTTCGGGCCCACGCGGCGATCGATGCGGAATTACGGAGGGCGCGCACCCTCCGGAAGGTACACACCGGATCTGTGAAGTATGTGGAAACAGACAGGTAGATTACGTGCGCAGGGTGTCTCGGAATCCTTTTATTTTTCGCTCGCAGGTATAGTTGTTTATGCAATAAAAAGCGGGAAGCAAAGTTTCGCGGCAATTGTCACGGGCAAATTATTTCTGAATGCAAATCATCGTCCTCCAACGATAAGCCCCTTAAAGAGGAAAGGGAAACCAGTCTCGCGAGTCGGTTTTCTGGGTCAAAAAGTGTTTTACTCGGAGGCAGACGTTTTGTTACATCCTGTTATAATTTTCAGCCTCTGATAAGGTTAAAACAGTAGCGACGCGATCCCGGTCCTTTGAATGCAGCCGTGACTGCCGCCAACACATACGGTGACCTATTTCGATCAACGAAACGGGGGTATTTCGGTAACTTCGAGATGACTTAGCATTCTCGTTGGCATTTGTACGCTATCTACATTTGTAGAGAGCACTGATCCAAGATATAAACAGTTACGGTTTACTTAAGAAAATTGTAACATATCAGGATCGATTCCTCCTGGTTTAAGGAACAAAAAAGTTCTTTTCCATTTTTCAATACGAGGTTTGGTACTCGGGATACGAACGTTTAAATTATTCGCGCGTGTGAACGCACCGTCACGTGACTCCCATGAGCCACCGCGCGCGGTCAGCTGACTGAGATGCAAAATGGCGCGCTCCGTGAACTTCAATCGCTCGTATCTCGATAACGAAGCTTCCGATTACGAAACGGTAAAGGATTTTTCGACTTCTTTTCGCATCAAGTTTTATTTAACGGTCGAAAAAATTTGATCCACGACGATCTTAGACATACCGTTTTTCTCTTACTCAATGGAGCACTTGATTCATTCCCTGGCTCGACGTTCGCCGATTCCGCACGCTTCTTTGCCGCCATGCAAATCACTGCTCGCCGTCTAATGAATTATTTAAGCGTTCACGGTCTCTTGCGATGCATGGCCTCGTGGGCACGCATTTCTCAACGGGACCCAGCGAATTTAGGCTTCGTTCCACGATCGTGTCCCCTGGCAAGGTCCTCATTGCTTAACATCAGGGATTCCCTTGGTATACTTTCCCTACGGGTCGATGGAAACGTAGCGCATCATCTCCAGGGAGTCATCGGCGTGCTCTGGAGGATGGGCGTTAACGAGGGATGAAAAGTCTCCTGAAGGGATTAATAACTCTTTTTTTAATAACTCTTTCCTTCCAACGTTGGAAGAGTCGAGGTTGTATTTTCACACAGCGAATGGTCCTTTCCATCCGTTTTGATCCAATTAGAAAATTCGTGTCTGCTTTGAACGTTGATCGAGACTCTATGTGAATTTTCCTGTCCAAGTCCATGGAATTACAAGTTTAATCCGAGGATAGTTAAAACACGATGGGCCAAGTTTCGTAAGCGCTTTGCTTTCGAAATTTTTAAATTGAAAGTTTCAGTTTAAATCGAAAATTTCTACGTGTTCGAGCTTCGGAAGACGTTACATATAAATTTTCGCCAAGTCGATGGTCCCTTTGTCGCACTTTCACCTGGTTCGACTGGCGCATTGTTGGGTGTCACGAGTTTATTCTGCGGATGCTTGAAAATTGGGAGACCGAGCCTCGCCAGACACTTTGCTTTCATTCCTTTCACTCCGAACGAAGTTGCTTCAGGGTTTCTTTCAGTTTCCATCCTTTGAATCGTTCACAATGAACATTGTATACACTGAATCGATAAATCTCGCCGATCAAATGATGCGTCCCGCAGATATTGTCCATTCCCCAAAATTATGTTTGGTATCCTTTGTGGCCCAGGTTAGGACTGTGACACCGGTTCTCGGGCGTTTCCTGAAGGAAATTTCAGGCGCGTTATTTTCGAGGCTTCGTCGTAGTACTGGCAATTTCCTCGAGAATAATAGTAAACGAGTTAAATCAGTCGAGTATCGATACTCGCACGCAAGGTACCTCGTTTGTCGCATCGTTGACGAGTGTCTTCAAGCATGAGTGGAGGGTGGGTATAGTATCTGTGCTCAGATTCACGGTCACATTATTTTTAAGGCGTATCTTATCGTAAAACTGGCAATTTTCTCAAGGAAGACGATAAACGAGTTAAATCAGCCGAGCGTCGATTCTTGCACGCAGGTACCTCGTTTGTTGCATCGTTGACGAGTGTCTTCGGGCATGCATAGAGGGATGGGTATAGTATCTGTGTTCGAAAACGAATTTTAAATAAAACTAAAGATACTAAAAGTTTGGCTTGATGACGTGACGAATTAATTCTGACCTTTTCTGTCTCTTTTATGCAGTTGCCATGGAAATGAGAACCGACATGCCGCGAAACACGAAAAGCGTTCGTCACAGAAGCTCGAAACCTCCTGGTCATTTTCCTTGTAAGTCCAACAAGATTACTTTTCAAAGTTACTTACTCAAAGTTTCCTTGCAAGTCGAAAGAAAACGACGTAGAGCTCGGCGTGGGTCACGAATGACCCACGCCGTGCGGTACAGGAAAAAAGATTCGATAAACTGAATCGAATAAGCGTTCAACACCTTGAAAATAAGAATACTGTTGAAAAAGGAATTCTTTCGTTTTAAATATCTTTTCTTTTTTTAAACATTAGAAAAATCAATCTCCGTAAGCCACGTGTTTGTTCTCCCTTCGAATCGATAGTTGTCATAATATCCGAACGCTTACTCGCGGTTAAAAGTTGCAAAGGTTAAAGAAAAATCGTTGAAAAAGTGCAATAATTTCGAGCGTCACGGGTCAGCGATTTTTCCAATGGGGGTTCCCCTTTGCGCTCGGCTCGACGCCATTTTTACGGTCAATATTTCCCCGCGACTAGATGTCACCCTTTACTCGGGCAGCCCTCATCCCCTTGCAAACTTGTGCCGCCCTCCGTGCGATAGCGCCACTGGCATGTTTCCAATTTCCACCGAGACTGGGGCTCTTTGTTCGTCGCGTTCTATCGCTGGTTTCTTGCTCCCGTTTCGAGTCGCTAAATTTATTCGTCACTCGCCGTGTCGACCTTTTCACTGGCGCAGGACTCGAGTATGATACACGGAATACCGTGGAGATTGATGGAAAGTAAAAGTACCTTAACGGGGTCAGCCGACGGATCTTTATCATCGGAAACGCGAATCGGTAACGCCTGTTACGTAAACGTTTCGAACGAAGCATTTAGGCGACGTTTGATCAGCGATCAATTTCGTTGTCACTTGGTTAAACAATCCTGATAATTGGAATATTGCTCGTTTTTATCGTTGACGAACGTTTCGAATCGTTCGCACATTTTCTTACTTTTCGAGAAATATTATCGAGTAACGAAGTTCCTTCGAAAGAAGTTTCTTAGAAAGAAGTTTCGTAGAAAGGAATTTGGTGATGATTTATTGACAGCGGAAACAATATTTGTAATTCACTCTTATGTTTGCAGGCTTTGCCACTTTTCCAGGAATTAATTTCCTTCGAGACGCCTGATTTCTTTTATGAAATTTTTATCGAGTAACGAGGCTCCTTAGAATTTTTTATAGAATGAAGTTTGGTGGCGATTTATCGACAGTGAAAATAAAATTTTAACGAGACCATTCTCTCGAGGGTTTTATTAGGTAAGAAAGTTCCTTAGAATTTTTCGTAGGTGGAAGGAAATTTTGGTGACGCGTTCATAGATAATTTTTTTACTAGGGTAATAGAATACACCCTAATTTTAACGACGTCGTAGATTTTTACATGAATTTTTTTCCACGAGTAATATATCATCCTCCGAAAGAGAATTAAATCTGGGTTAATATTCTCGCAGATATTCAAAATTTGTTATCAAAAATGAAGACCACCGTGTTCTCGAAACAGTAGTGTTTATAATCTCGATTATAATTTTAGTAATCTTATTAATACAGTGTACCATACCTTTTTATAAAACAATGCATCATCGTCGAATGGTCGGACGCTTACATCGCGATACATCATCGTTGTGTCACGGCACCTCGAGTATTGCATCCGATTCGCATAAATGCGTGGACGTTACGCGAATAGACGAGCGTCTGTTACGAAATTGGTGACGTAACAGAGTCTGAGATGGAAATCGCGCATCTAGGAAATTAAAAGTAACCAACGTAGCCTTCGGAACGCTCGAAATAGTCGACGTTATAATTACGATTAATATTTACCACTAATTCAAACTATGACTCCTCTCCTCGATCGAGATATTTTTAGGTCGAATCGTTTTTCGAGCGATGGAATTCCAATCGACCGAGGGAGTCAAGGATTGGTCTGGGCGGATAAATTTTGATAGTCCTCGAATTATCGTGGGCGCGCTTGACCTTAACACTGATTGGTCGATATCTTAAAATAGCCCGGCGAGCATCTGATAACGCGGTTTATTTATAAATCTGACTCAACATTTTCGTAGCCGTGCACGTCGCGTATAATTCGCGGACATCCGTCTACGTCGAACGTTTTCTTGATTTCGAAATAAAATCGGGAACCACACCAACGACACCGGTGGCTTGCGACAAAAACGACGGCGATTAATAATATTCGTAGAAAATACGGTCGGGGGGAGTGAAACGAGGCTTCCAAGTATCGATTAACGCATCGCGTGTCGCGTGGGTCGTCATTGACCCACAATACAGAAGTAAAATATTTATTTACCGCGCCATCTCGAATTCGTCTAGTTGCATTTACAGAAAAAAGAAAAGAAAATTCGGAGGAATTCGGGGAAACAAGCTTATTCTGGGGAAACTTATCTTCTCGATCCGTCATTTTTCGACACGCGATATGTAGAAATCGCCCACGTGTGCCGTTGGTGTATTTTTCTTGCAAAATACGCGCTCGCCCTTGGGAAATTATTGTCCCCGCGAATGAATGGTTCGACGAGTGTGTACCGTCTGCGCGAAACCTATAATTGGAGGCAAGAAAGTCGATGGTTCTTGTTGTCTTTGCCGCCTCCATTGTTGTTTAAGTCGATGGAGGTGGAGAGGCACTCGGGGGTAGTAGACAAAGAAAATTCTGTCTACGCAGGGAGCCGACATCGAGGGTATTTGTCCGCAAATATTTCTTTATTTAATGGTCATTCTCGATGGCGGCCAACGCGGGAAGGGGTGCTTCTTATTTAGAAAGCGTCGACGCCACGGCGTGGTCATCGACCAGATAGATTCAGGAATTCCCATTGTTAGAAACTTAAAGATTACAGGTAATCGCAGGCTGTTAGAGACGGGAACGTGAGCCACTTTTGATACACGCCGAAAGAGTTAAACGCGAGCCACCGGTGGTACACGCTGTGCAAAATCCATGTACATGTGTGTATCGAGTGCAATAGTCAAGTTTACAGGGAGTCAAAGAAGAAAGAATATGCTTAACCAGAGTTTATTAATGTAATACAATAATTCAGCGCTTCGTGCAATCTTGTACTTACCTCTTTTACATCCTAACCTCAAAAAGCACATGTACCACCAGCTAAGACAAGATCCACACCACTCTGTCGATAACTCAGCCGGTAGCTCGCGAGGCGCGCAATTCAAAAACGAGCTAAAGAAGAAAGCTCAATGTTTGACGCTGGGTTTACGCAGATTCCTTATCGCCATTTCTATTGTCGCAACAATGCTTTAATTAAGCGATGTCGATTCGCTAAAATTAATTAAAAGCCTCGGACAAAAATTGAACATATGCTTATCTCTCTCTATATAAAGCGTAAACAGTTCCTGTAAAACTTTCTAAAATTCGGAACGTGTCCTCCCTTCCCACATGTTCGACAAGTTACGCAACTTCTCTCCCTAACCTACCATAACAACCGAAATCCATTTCTTCCGTGTCCACCCGAAACCTTCCTCCTCCCTCTCCCTCGTCGTTATCATCTCCGCTAACCTCTAACCTCGTCATCGATGATCCCCTTCGTTCCCACGGCGTCCAGCACGCGCCTCTCGAAAGGGAGCGCGCGAATAAAGAAGGGCGCGAGAGTAAAATCGAGGGTCGAACGGGGATCGAGTGTGCGCAGCCGCGCGACCGCTCGATGTCTCGCGAGAGCAGTCATCGTCGAGAGCGACGAGGTTTTCGCCGCGTGTACACGTATAAATCAGGCGGGAGGAGCGCCTTCGTCCAGGGTGCGGGATCGCGTAATCGGTGACGGGGGATACGGTGGGGCTCGCGAGTGCCGACAGCGGCCAGTGGTCGATTAGATTCGAAGGGGACGATCAGCGCCGCCAGCTGATCTCGCTGTGGCCGTGTGCAACGTGCGCGAGCTTCCATGGCCGCTGGAACGCGGTCGAACCTTCCCAGCGCGGAGGACACCGTCGACAGTGACCTGGCGGATCGGTGAGAAACGATAAGGCACGGACTGTGGCGACCTGATGACGAAAACTGTGATGGGTGCATGGATTCGAGGCTTTGAGACCTCGTGCGTCGATACCGAAGGGGATCTAAGGTCTGAAGCGTCCATATCTCAGAGAATCCATCGGACCTGGTGCGTTTATATAGAGGAGTCCATAGGAAGTAGGAAGCATCGATCGCAAGGGACCTGTAGGACCTAGGCATCGACTTCGAAGAGTATCCGGGACCTGGTGCATCCATACCAAAGTGACCCTAAGGTCTGAAGCGTTCATATCTCAGAGAATCCATCATACCTGGTGCGTTTATATCGAGGAGCCCATAGGAACTAGGAAGCATCGATTCCAAACAGTCTCCAACACCTGGTGTATCCATCCCTAAAGGCTACCGAGGGCTGGAGCGTTGATGTATCGAAGGGTACCCAGGACCCGGAGCGTCTATATCTGATAGAACCTAGGAACCTCTTTCTCAAGAACCTAAACATCGACTCCAAAGAGTCTTCAGGACCTGGTGCATCCACCCCAAGGCTCGCCAAGATCTAGAGTAATCGAATCTCGCATTCCCCGGCTCCCGGTGGATCCAACCCCCAAAGAAGAGTCCTCGTGAGCCGCTACGTCAACTCCAAAGAGTCTCCAGTACCTGGTGCATCGAAGCAAAGGGTCCCCAGGAACCCTGGTGTCCGGCTGGCCTCTCGAAAGCGTTCCGCGATCGATTCCCTCCCGGAGCATGACCTTCGAGTCACGTGTGTGCCGCGAACCGACACGCAAGTCACCGATACACGAGTGCCTCCGACTCGCGAGACGGACTGGACATCGATCACGAGGGATCGCGCGCCGCGGGGAACTTTTCGACGCTGACGCGTCGCCGGGGTTTCCCCGTTCCGGTTTCCGGTCCGAGCGCGACGGTACCGCCGTAGACACGATCGATACCAGCCGCGGGAAACTTGGGAAGAGGAAGGAACTCCCCCCACGCAGACGTCGCTGGCCTGATCCTGTTGACGACTGAATTCGTGAGAATGCCGAGGAGCCGGCCTTGGAGCGGGCTGAGCCAGCTGGCGTTTCCCAGCGCCTAACGATG